GGGCCCGGGCCATGAGCGCCGCCCGGCCCCAGTTCTGCATCGATGACGCCTTCGAGCTGTCCCTGGAGGATGCGGGCCCTGGGCCCGAAACCAGCGGGGTCGCTCGCTTCGGTCCGCTGCACTTCGAGCGCCGGGCCCGATTCGAGGTGACCGAAGAGGAAAAGCAGTCACGGCTGCGCTACCAGGTGAACGGCCCGGCCCACCTCTCCCCCGCCCGGGGCCCGGAAAGACCCTGGGGAATGCGCAGGCAGGGGAGAACCCACCTAGAAAGCCCCCGCTTAAGCGGGAAACGCCTCCTCGGACGTGGCCTCTGACCCAGGCCTTTACCCAGACCCTCGGCTCAGATTTCGGTGCCCAGCAGCCGCTGTAGAACCCGGAGCCAGGACGGCATCTCATCCCGCGCCTCCCGCGGGAGACCGCCCGCAAAGCCCCTGCCCTTTGACCCCCGCTGGGCGGGAGCGCTCAGTACCTGAGCCGGACCTCGTCCACCGCAGCCGATCTTACTGAAACCTGCAGCCCCGCTTCCCTTATGGAAGTCACTGCCCCACCCACCTCCACTCCCCCCACCCCCGCGAACTGGCAGCCCCCACTCACATGAGAACCTCCACCAACTCTACAGTCTTTTTCCTGGAATCCTGAACCAGATTCCTGTGCTCCTGGAAATTCTGGGCCCGCCTTTCTCTGGCACCCCAATTGAGAACCTCCATGCGGCCCCCTGAAATATCCTAGGAATGCCACCCTAACTCAAGCGGGAGAATACCCGGTCCTGGACCCATACTGAGTGCCCTCAAACAGCCTCTGCCACCTCTTGCCCCCCAAAACTCCCAACACCCACCTCTTCTCTGGGTTTCGGTTTCTGTGAATCATCAAACCTGTTCTGCTAGGAGGGCGGAGGGCCAGGTAAGCAGCTGTCAGGCTGCCACATGGCCAGGCCGGGCAGAGATAGCTGCGGGGCTGCTTCCCACCTGGCCTGGGAGGGGAGGAAGAACCTGAGCCCTGTGTTCTGGAATAGAACCTGGAGAATGATGAGGATGGAGCCCAGGCCTCTCCAGAACCGGATGGGGGAGTCAGCACAAGGTCAGGGCCAGGTGGGGACCCACCCTGTACCCCTAGCCCCAAAGCCTCTGGCTCCTGACCCAAGCCCTGCCCAGCCCTCCACCTCACCTCACCCAGCCCTCTCACATCATGTCCTACAAAAGGCTTCTTGGCTCACCCCCACTGTCCTGATGGGGTGCCTTGTCCTGAAGAGTTACCCTAGCCTCACCCATCCTGCAGAAACACCTCCCCGTCAGGCCCCCACCGTCCTGCCTATAGAGCTCCCAGTTCTGGCCCGGCCCAGCCTCTCCCACCGTCCTGCCCTGCAGGGATGTGCTGCCCTCCTGCCTGCACCCTCCCCTGCTACCTGCCCAAGGGGCCCCTTCCTCACCTGCCCGGCCCCTCCTGCGCTGCATCACACAGGGACTCCCGAGGCAGCTCCATCCGCAGCTCGCAGTGGTCCTTCAGCACCATCAGCAACGGCACCCAGCGCTCCTACAGAGCCTGCTGCAGGTGAGGCCTGCCCGCTCAAGGGCACTGGCAGCCCCGCGCTCCCCCGCCCCTCCCCTGGCTCACACCCACCCCCTCTCCTGACTCCCAGCTGGACCCAGCACCCGTTGATCCAGAAGAACCTTCGAATCGTGCTGGCCTCTTTCCTGCTCCTGCTGCTGGGGCTGGGTGAGTGCCCCACGCCGGTACTCCTGGGAGGGCCTTTGTGTACACTGCAGTCCCTGAGCTCAGCGAGCCTCCAGCTCCCCAGTCCCCACTGGCAGCCGTCGCCCACCCCATTCAGCCTGAGAGCAGTAGGCCTGGCACACAGCTACAGAGGGACCTGGCTCCGTGGCACAAGCTTGTCTTCCTTTCTAAAGCAGCCTGCTTAACTCCCGAGCCAGACCACCCGATCACTCCCTTTGCCGTGTCTGCTTGGAGCCAGGAACAAGGCAGCTCATTTCCCGCCTTACAGCCCCAGTGAGCCTGGCGGAGGGCCTCGACCCAGACCTGTGTGTAGGGATGGGTGCTGGGGAAAGCCCGGCCCCGCAGCAGAGGTGCTGAGCGCCTGCCAGCTGATCCCTGGCACATGTCACCTCCCTCCTCTGGAATATAGGACTGACAGGGACCTCTCCCATCCCCCGGCTCAGAAAGGGAAACTAAGGCACACAGCAGGCGGATCTGACTCCCATGCTCACTCTAGGGGACTGAGGAGTCAGCGTCCCCACAGGGATTTAGGGTTGGGATCAAGGAGCTGCCCCCCAAGGCTAGGGGCCCCAGCCAGCAGGCCCCCGACCATAAAGCCAGGCAAGCATGCCCTTGGTCCTTGCCTGAGTGCTTCCCAGCCCACGGCCGCCGTGTGCGAGAGCGTGGTGTCCTGGCCGCCTGCCTGGCCACTCTTCTCTCACTGACCCAGTGAACCAGCATTATCACTGTCCGTTTCCAGAAGGCAGGACAAGTGGGCGGATGAAGGGGCTTGCTCACAGACCCCATAGGCCCCAGCGTGGCTCACTCAACTGTTCGGACCCAGTGAGCGAGAGGAGGGCAAGGTGGGGAGCTAGACTCTGCAGCGGGGGCAAGACCACTGTGTACCTCAAAAAAGGGTGTGATAGGGCTGAATCACTCTGCACAGCTGCTTAGGGCCGTGGGCTCTGCCCACTCAGAGCTAGAAGTGCCCAGAAGCCCTAAGTCCCTTTGCTGCGCTCTTCGACACATCTGGAGTAGCCTCCTGTGCCCGGCCCTCAGGGACACCCCTGGACTCCAGCACCGCCACCTCCCAGAGGTAGCCACAGCCATGGGCAGGTGACCTCTCCTGTGTCCCTGTCTTCAGGGAAACGGGGTGATGATAGTCCCTGCTACTGGGTCAGGGTGACAAACAGACAGTGTGCAGCTCGGGCCCCACCCAAAGCTGGCCCTGGCAAGTGGTCACTGAATACCAGCTAACTGCTGTCTGCTGTCGCTGCTGCTCCCTGCTCTGCCAGGCCCTGTGGAACGTGCCGCCTGCCCAGTGCCCTCAGTGAGGCAGTGCTAGGGAACAGTCTCACTGGGGCAACTTTCACCTTGGGTTCCCCAGTGCCAGGCTCACTGCAGGTGCCCCTGAAATGTTTGTTGAGTGACTGACAAAAATATCTGGTTCACTGCCAACCCTGCTATGAAAACAGCTTGGTGAGCTCCCTGGGGAGCGCCTTACCAGGGGGACCTTGAGCCCCGGGAGGGGGGGGGCACGCTCCACAGGTCTCATCAAGTTGGCAGGTGCGAGTGGGGGTGCCCCCTGCCCTCTGCTCCGGCCCTCACCCCTCTGCTCCCACCCTCACCCCTCTGCTCCCGCCCTGGCCCCTCTGCTCCCGCCCTGGCCCCTCTGCTCCCTCCGTGCAGTGCTGATCCTGGTCGGCGTGGGACTGGAGGTGGCCCCCTCCCCAGGTGAGCGCCCCTCCTGACCCGCGGGCAGTGCCCGGTCCGGGGCCAGCCCCTCCACCTCCCA